ATAAAGTTTTTATATATAAACTAAGCTAATACTTAAATACCTATCATTGATTCTTAATATTGGATATAATTTTGAAAATAAATAAAGTTGCTTTCTCTTTTATTCTGTTTTTAAGAGAATTTAAGTTTATTATCTGCAATTTATTACTATGATTATATTATAAAATTTATTATATAAAATTTAAATAATTTTAAATAAATAATTTTTAATTTTATGGATTGATTATAAATTAAAATTTATTAATAAAATTGTAAAATTATTTTTAAATCAAATCACCAGTTCTTATTTTATTAAATATAATATTAACTAAAATTAATATAAAAGTAATAAACTAAAAAATATTTATTTTTTCAAAAAATTTTAAAACACTCTATATATTATATATATTATGCTGTGACTTATAATTTTATAAAAAAAAATAAGATTTAAGATTTATATATAAGAAAGGTATTAAAACAATATTTTGTTAATAAGCAACTTATTAATAATATTTAGAATCGCATATGTAGTGAGAAAGATAAAAGCTATAAATAAGCTATTATTAGGAGAAAAATAACAATTAATATAGGCAATGCAAAGTGATGTTATGATAATCAATGATTAAGAAGGTTGCTTTAAAAGATAAAATCAACTATCTGTTTGTTATTTCGGCTATTTTTGCTATTTTATTATTTTAGTTATTTTGATTACTTTAACTATTTTAGCTATTTAGTATTGCGACAAATAGTTATAAAAGTAATGTCTTACAATATTAATAAATGAAGATGATTTTAATCATGGCACAAAATTAATTAAGAAAAACTATATTGTTGCATAATTTATTATAATAAGTTGCTGCGACTAGAGTGTTTCAGGTTATCGACATATTTGTTTCAGAGAAATAACTATACTATTATTCTTTGATTATTATTACAAAAGACAAAAGGAATAATTGTATTGGCTTATTAACTTTGATTATTTCCTTTTCCGGTTTTATGTAAAGAAAATGTAAAGTTTGAATCAAATTTTCTACTTTATTTACAAAAACTTATATTAGTATTCAAAATGTCAATAATGAGTTTTATTGAATAAATCAAAGTAAATAAAAAACAATGTAAAAATAAATTGATTTTTCGAGCTATTATGTTTTGTATGCAATGCACATACCGTAAATTGTTTTTAGAAACTTAAATATTTTCTAAAAAAACATACATTGCTATGCTATTTGATATATTAATACATAAGTTAAAAAACGTTTTTATAAAAATGTGGAGAACAGGATCTCGTATACTTATCACTTCTTTAATTTGCGGCCCATATTAAATTTAATTACCAAACGTCACGTATGTAAACTTTATCTCTTTTCGTCAAAATTTCAACCCCGTTTTCTTTAATAGCATTGATATACTGTTTTTGCGTATCCCTCCATATGAGATTATGTGGAGAATTTGTAAAAGACAAGGTCTTCAGGGTTTTCATCGTGAGAACAGTTACAGCAAGTACTTTAAGGTAAAGGTCAATATGCTTGCTATTAAACCGCAAGACCAGAGATCTTAATGGTGCTACACAACTTTGCATAAAATTCGATAATTCGATTGCAGTAGGATTAAAAAAATCTATGATTAATTCTGTAACTGTTGGTGGTAGGTTCATTCTTAAAGCATGCATAAAAGTTTTAGTGCAACTTATTGAACTCTCAAAAAAGACTAAATGTACAAGTTTCAATTTTTTGATCCAAAGAAAGAATAACGAAGGAATTTCAAATTTGACCGAAACTCCAAGGTAAGTAATGTCTTGAATATATTGTGATGCTGCTACCATAGTTTCCAAAGTGATAACATCTAATATTAATCTCTTTAAGGTGTGTCCTGTCTTCTTGATAATTTCGATCACTGTATCCGGTTCTATATCGTTACTCATTAAGCACAATTCTTTAATATTACGAAAAGCTGAAGACAAAATCCGATTTCCATTTACGATAAAAGTGCAAGATAGACGCTTGTTGCAATTTCATATTTAGGACCTTGGCAAATCCAGTATAGAATTTTACATCTTATTTAAAACTTCAATGATTGTGAAATTACTGCAAAGGATTGTGTGTATTACATAAATGTTACACATTCAATGCATACGCATAGCACATAAATCAGTTCATTTATCTAATCATATCGACGTATTTACCTCTTCTCCTCGGACCTCAAATATGACTGTGCCATACCTTGTAGATGATTGTCTATACCACTTAGCACAACATATCACTGATTTTAACACTTAGTACAATTGTATTTATGTTAATCATTTCATGTCTAAAATTGTAATACCAAAATTATGGTCTCAACCATTATTTAAAGCAAAACGGAAAGGTTTAGTGGTCAGGACTTACCTTTCATGCTTGAATGAAGAGGAAAAGGCTAACTTAATTCCTTTTGCTATTGATCTATCCGATATCAACCAACGCCCGTTCCTTCAATATGAGGAGTACATGGAATCCTGCAATAACTTTGTTCTTGAAGAAGCAGCTTATGATTGGCTAAGGTTAACGACAGCTCATCGCGTCGACCGGGAAGATTTAAGAATTAGACAAATCTCACGTGTACTTTGGACAATGTTTTTGTCAAGAAGTTATAATCTTAAATCTTTCTTTTATAATGTCTCTAAGCAGTCACCTGTTAAATTTATTTTTCCAGAGGCATCAATGATATTAAATGCTAGGCCTAGTCTGTCAAACCTTCAAGTTTTCACTTTGTGTACAGACGACATATTAAATGGTTCTAGAGAGATCAGGGGCCCGTTAAATTTCCTAAAAAGTATACCTTCAGTTTGCTCAAATATCCGAGAGCTGAGAATTTACGATTTTGATTCGGGAGTGGATAATGAATTATTCTGCGACATCATCAAGTCCCAGCGTAGTATCAAGTCATTTAGTTATATGGGAAATATAAATAGGGTCATCCCATCATTGAAAGCCCATAGGGGTTCATTGACTAAATTAGTATACTTTTTCAGTCCGGCTGTTAGTTCATTGGAGGCGCTCACTTGTTTCGAATGTTTGGAATCATTAGATATTAGTTATTGCACTTTTATCG